ATAGTAATTCCCATACAAATTTCAAATCATTGGCGCGACCTCTAAACCTTCATCAATCTTTACCAATTTTTGCACAGGTTCATATTTTGGGGCTATGAATCGAACTGGAGGGTGGCCCATCAGAAATTCATCACTTTTTTTCAGAATGAAGCACCCTAGTGTACAAATATCAGCTTGTATTGATAGTAGGATTTGAAATTTCATTCGTTTGCGATTTCAAGCAGTCATGAACGTGAAAATGGAGCATATCATAAATCTGTGTAAAATCGTGCGTTATCTTTTAGAAACTGAAATCTCTTTGAAAGAATTAAACATTCATTTTTCAAGCGTGAAAAATCCGTTCAATATCAAAGCTTAGACGCATCGCCATGGGCTCAAAAAGTGATGGAACTAAAGCGTGCGTGTCAGCTGTGGTTAATTTTCGTGACAAATGTGGCTGGTAATTAGGGGCCTCCCTTAGCTCAGTCGGTAAAGGCGCAGCTACAAAGCAAGACCATGCTGGCGGTGGCTGGGTTCGATTCCCGGTCCGGTCTAGGAATTTTTCGGGTTGAAAGATTTCTCGACTTCCCTGGGCATAGAAGTATGATTGGACAATTATACCAATGCAAAAATGGTACAGGCATCGAAAGTTCTCAATTTAATAACTGTGGAAGTGCATCTAAAACACTAAGTTGAGAGCACGCAATAAGCATGCGATATGCAATAAGCTTGAAATGCGAAGAAGAAGAAGTGGCTGGTAATTAAGGTAAAGGGAGAGAGATTTGAATTAAAGTATGCTAAGTTGATAAATATACTGATATCAAAAAATCATGCAATCGTTTTAAAAGTAACAGTTATTCCGAATCAGCTTGTAGATAAATTTTAGAAGATATTCAGAGAAAATTCCAAACAAATATTTTAGGTAATACAAACATTTTTCAATATCCTGTCTAAAAATACTGTTCAGGATTATGGGACTGTAAATATCTGAAAAGTGTAATAAAGGGCGAACACGAAATTATTGCGACACATTCAACAGGGCATAACTTTTTTACCATTGGGTAAAAATCAACCAAATTTTGCACACTTTCTCATTGATGTGTACTGTGTATATGCTGTCAAACTCGAAGTCGTGTTTTTCGATTCAACGAAAATTGAGGTGAACCAATGCGAGTTGAGAGAACAAATTCTTTCCAAACACCTGGAATTTCCTGACCTGTCGCACCGGCAGTTGGGAAAAATGTTGAACATTCACCATTCAACCGTCTCCAGAGTGTTGAAGCGGTTCCAGGAGCGGTTGACGTTGGACCACGGCAAAGGAGCTGGAAGAAAACCGGGACCGGAGAACAAAAAGACGGAGGGAAAGGTGAAGCGGATGATTAAAGCAAATCCCAACGTCTCAAGCCGTGATTTAGCTAAAAAGATCGGCATGTCGCAGAGCTACGTCCAGAATGCAAAGAAGAGAGCTGGACTACATACATACAAGGTACAGAACTTCCCAAACCGCAATGAGCGGCAACAATCGACGGCTAAAACTCGGGCACGGAAGCTCTACGAGAAGATTCTGACAAAATATGGCTGCTGTGTGATGGACGACGAAACGTATATAAAAGCCGATTTTAAGCAAATTCCGGGGTTGGAGTTTTTCACCGGCAAGAGCAAGTTCGATGTGGACGACAAATTTAAGAAGAAGAAAATGTCGAAGTTCGCCTCCAAATATCTCATTTGGCAGGCCATCTGCTCTTGCGGACTGAGGAGTGAGCCTTTCGTGACAAAGGGCACAGTAAATGGCGAGATCTACAAATCTGAGTGCCTCGAGAAGCGCCTTTTGCCGTTCTTGCAGCAGCACGACGAAGCTCCGCTATTTTGGCCAGATTTGGCATCATGCCACTATTCTAAAAGTGTCCTGGAGTGGTATGAGGCCAATTCTGTCCATTTTGTTCCAAAGGACATGAATCCGCCAAACTGTCCGGAGCTGCGCCCGGTGGAGCAGTACTGGGCAATAATGAAGCGGGAACTTCGGAAGAGCAAGAAGACAGTCAAAGACGAGAAGGACATGTTAAGAAAATGGAAAAAAACTGAGAAACTGGTACCGGATGACACTGTAAAGACTTTGATGGAGGGCATCAAGTGAAAATGCGTTCAATTTTACACTCAAGGCTCCATCGATTAACTTTTCTTTTGATTTTTGAAGTAAATATATGTATAAAACTACCCTAAAATTTTGGTTTGATTCTAAAACATTATAAGAAAATTGGCATGACATTTTCGGTGTCGCAATAATTTCGTGTTCGCCCTTTAGTTGGATTGAGCGATAGCCTGAAAAGTGTTACAGTGAGATTTGTGCGATCTCAAACTTATATTTTTTTTCGATATGCCTGACTTAAATTAAACATTCTAGACCAGGAATTTTTTGTAGATCCTGTGACAGGAAAAGTTTCCAAGGTTCTAAAATTAACAACCATATTCATAATGACGGACATTGGGCATCGATTGACATCGACATACTTCTGAGATTCCAACCTTAACAAAAAATGACGTGTCTTATATTATGAGCACTCATACATCTAGTTTTCACTGGAAATCCTATGTATGAGTGCTCATTGCAAGACAGCCTATATTACGTGATATAGGCTGTAATGTGAACGGGGTATTAGGCAAGCATGGAAAATCATTTACATTGATTTCGGCTATTCATTTACATTCATTTGCTTCTATATTTTTTCATCAACTGAATTCCGTAAAATGATGTAGGATGCTTTTGTAGGTTTTGATATTAGCTCTAACTTTTGTGAATAACTCAAATCTGTATCTCTTATGCATAACGAACTAGAGCGGGCATTTCCCGGTTGTCTCCCGGTTTTCCCAGTTCAGTGGTCACCATGAATACGTAATTTTTATTTTTTTAAAGAATTGGAATGGTTTTTTTTTATACAAATCGAAGAAGGTCGAATCTGAATCTTAAAGTTTTGTTTTTGGTATTTGGCCTAGAACTGTTAAATAGGGTAGGTCAAGTTTGCATGGTTGATCACAACCCCCTGTTCCTCACTGCTCTTCCTGTGGTCCTCAACAACTATGTCAAATTTGGTTATGATCTGGATTTGCGTAAGAATTTTAATTTTTGTATGGAAAAATGTATGGGAAACGGAACAATCCTCTTCATTTGCTTGCCAAAAAATCGAGTTTTGTTAAAATTTTACCAAAACTCGGAAATACATTAGGAATAACGGATAGAAATCCCCTTATACTTTTTGGCAAGTTTATATTTTCAATCAAAGTGCTTCATGTATGAAGTAACTGATTTTCAGATTTGGAAGGAAATGCTACACTAATATCAACATGAAACATTAGTGCGATAATTTATTAGCTAGAGAAAAATCAGAAGAGGATAGATTGATAGTTCCCTTGATTTGTTTTCCGTCGATCCTACCGACGCCAGGGAGGCAGCTCCCACACCTGGACCCTACTTATCGACCCATCAACTCATGAATCGGGGACCAACGACTTTACTTCCCTCCGAAGAAAGGCGTGATCAGAGATGTTATGCCTCAGAACATTCCGCCAGCGCCGACTGAGATTGAACCAAGGCCTACTTGGGTGAAAGGTAATCACGCTTACAACTACACCACCGGCGCCACTGATTGATAGTTCCGCAGAGTACGGCAGTGTGAAAATTGAACAGTAGTTAAAATTGAGTGAAGGGTCATTAACGCGCACTCCTTTACCTAACTCATACATTGATGGATGAAGGGACGTGGAGCTTTAGGTAGTGATAAAACGTCACTAGAACAGCCGCTGATAGTATATGAGCAAGTTAAGCGCGCACTCTTTTGCCTATGGATTTGAGGACATACCTCAAATCCTCTCATCTATCAATGTATGAGCTAGGTAAGGGAGTGCGCGTTTAATTAGTATTGTCACATTAATAACCCGTCGCTCAATTTCAACTTCTGCTCAATTTTCACTCTAGTGGAACTATCAATCTAACCTCTTCAGAACTTTCTCTAGCTAATAAATTATCGCACTAAAGCTTCATGTTGATATTAGTATAGTATATCCTCCCAACTCTGGAATTTCTATTGCTGATTCTTCATAAAATGTATAAGACAACTAATAAGCAGACGCCTTCAAAAAAAATTAATGAAGATCGTGTGTCAAATGAAATGTTTATGCATTCTTATAGGACCTGATGGTCTTATGAAATGTATGAGGGTACGGCCAGGGTAGACGCGATTCGCGACGCGACGCGACCAATTCAAAAGAATCTTATTATTTATTATTATTCCTTGCATGAGTCGCATCACGTCGCGTGTCGCGTCTACCCTGACCACGACCTAAGGCTGATGTTTTGACAAAAATGTTTAAGTGAAACACATGAACAAAATAATTCATTTTCATTTCGTGTATGCAGAACAACTTTGTCGAAGACTGCAAATCGATTAGACTTCTGAAAAAAAGAAGCTATTATTATATTAATTTAGACCAATTGCTCCACGCATATCTACAGACGTATACATGAGCTTGTAGGTACGTGTGGAATACTTGGTCTAAAGTGAAAGATTAGTAACTTTTTGTACAAATATCAAATCGATTTGCAGTCTTCGACAAACTTGTTTTGTATAGTATTCTCAATCTAAGCATTCTGTTTCCCATATATATTTTCCCATACAGATTTTAAAATTTTCCCGCAAATCTAGATTATAACCAAATTTGTTCAAATTTTGCACAGTTATGGGGGAACAAGGAGTTGTAAAGTTGACCCACCCTACTGCTCAATGATGTCTTTTAAATTTATTTTCAACCCATCAATTTTACCACTGTATCTAATCTTGATTTGCCTCTGGAGGTCTAAGTGGAATACCTGCAAAGAGAATAAAGAAAGAAAAGGTATTTAGTAAATTGAAATGACCTAATATAAATAAATAACTTTAAATTTTTTAACATGTCTAAGGTCATAGTAACCCACGCATTCCACAAACCGACAGCAAGTCACTTTCGCAGCAGTACCTCCCCTCTTTGCACCATGTCCTCCCAGTTGGAACTCTCCTGGCCAGCGGAATCCCAGCACGTCATCTTCCGGGAGCTGGGCACGCACTACATCCGCCAAGGTCGCTATCGGGTGGCGACTTCCAACTTCACCAAAGCCGTTCAAGCCAATCCGCATGCCGTCGATTGTCACTACCGGAAGAGTGTTGCCCAGTACCGGAATTCGGAGCTGAAGGATGCCCTCCGGAGTGCCCGTGATGGATTGGCCGTGGAGCGGGACGAGTTGGATGATCCTCGGGGGGAGGATTTTCCATGCTCGCTGCAGGAATGCAAAACGATTTTCGAGTTGGATGAATTTGAAGAGCACGTCAAGGTGACTTCGAATCGGAGCAAGCATTTCACCGGGCATCGGTTGAAGGACATGCAGGCGGAGCTTCGATTGGCGTTCGAAAATTATGATAACATCCTGGGCAAACAAGCCGGGCCATGCCTGTATGAGCAGAGGCGTCGATTGATGAAGATTGCAGAGGAGAACAAGCAGAGTGGTTATGTTGAAACGCGGCCGGAATGGAAGGTTAAACGGGACAACAAGGAATGCGATGCGGTGAGCGTGGTGGAGATGGTTGTGAAGGAACCACACGTCAGACAGACGAAGAAGAAGGAGAAAAATCTGAGGATGCTGGGTCAGGTGTATTTGGGCCCTGGATGGAAGAATTTGGAATTTTTGAGTTCTTTGAGGAAAGGAGGAGCTTGGGAGAAGACCGTGAACCTTTCGGAAGCACCTGTAAGCTCTAAGATGTTGTCCGATATAATTGAAGAGTGCTACAATCGCGTTGAAACGGAGTTGCATAGCTTGCAATCAAGAACTCCATTCTACACGTATCGCCGGAATAGATTCCGATCGTCGGAAAAAGTGGATACGTACTTGCTGGATGAAATGTTCAAGATACGATACAAAACCTACAGGGATGCCTTTAACCAGTTGGATAGGATGCATGAGCTGCGCAAGCAGGGGCGCTTGACCCAGTTGCTGATGTATACCAACGATATTCTCTGGAACTACTACCAGACCAAAACGGAGCGGGTTTTCCCGGATCGGTACAAGTTTGTGAACGAAATTTGCAATTTGGTAGGATTGGCGTTTATGGAGAGCTTCCAGATCCCGCCGACGCTGATGGACGAGCGATTGAAAGATCGACTCTCAATTCTGTTTCGCCTGCCACTGGGCAAGGACGAGGATGATGTTGTGGTGCCCATTTTCGGAGACAAATCCACGTATCGTGATCCGGCTGCTCCGGATTATGGTTACATAGCTTACAAGTGAGTATAATGATTTGAAGATGAGTTCATTAGCTATAATCAATGTTTGTCCGTTTGCAGAAACAAACTTACGGTGTTGGAAAAGCGTATCCCGCACTCGAGGTATGCTATCGAGAGAGCTTTCCTGTATCACGAAATGTGTCGCCACCATCTGGAGGCTAGCAAGTTGGACGAAACGCGCATCATGGCACGGCGGGTTATCGACGAAGCGACGCAAAGTGGTAGCAACTTGTGGAAGTTTTTGGGCGTGTTGGCCATCGTTCGGGCCGACTGCAGCCAAATGAATCTGGAGAAGTTGACAGACTCACTGGAGGACGCAAGCCAAGCGGTGTTGGCTTTGGAAGACGAACGGCTGGCCCATGTGATCCAGGTGGCGAGAATTGTAAGTGGCATTCTAATTAAATGTACACTCATTCTAATAAGCATTGTTTTACCGGTAGATCAATGGCAAACTGATGACCGAGAAGATGGAACAAAGAGCTTCTTTTCAAATCAATCGCATTCAACTGGAATAGTTTTCAAAATTGTTTTTTAAAACCAATAAAAGAATATGAGTTGGAGAGGTCCACTTCACTCGTCAAACATAATTAGTGAGTGTTCCGAATCCGAATGCAGCACTTGAATGCACTTACGCACCGCGAGAGTCCATTTAAGTAGGAGGAATGAATGCAACTGCACTTTTTCGCTGCCAGCAGGACATGGCACCGCCGAACGGGGCGACGACGTAGGACCAAGGACGAACGGGCAGATGTTCGTCGTTCGTCGGCCGGATCCGTAAGGACCACTTGTGTGGCTCGCGCTTGTACCATTTTGTGTGTGTGTGTGTGTGTGTGTGTGTGTGTGTTATTCAATTCGGTGAAAAACAACGCACAACATGAGAGTCCTTCAGTCGACTACGGTCCGTTGCATCGGGGATGGCGATTATAGCGCGGTGATGATGGGCACGTGTCAATATCCCTGGGCGAAAGCGTCATTTATATCCTGGCGAGCATCATCGTCGCAGTGGGTCGTTTGTTTTTTTTTTCGTGGACGATTCGGGGAAGGGTAAGCGAATCGAGTCATTATTTCGAAAACAAATAAGTAGCGCGGATTAGAAAAGCCCACACAGCGGGGCTATTTTTGTTTATTTAGCGATGAAATTTAGTAGAAAGGAGGTTGATATTGATGATTTTTTTTTTCTGATTTAGAAAAGAGGGGTCGTTTAGATGCAAATCAAATTAATTAAACAGGGACTCGGCGTGTAGTCGCGGTACTGGCTGAATCAACGGACGAGCAACAATGGTTGGAAGGGATTTTTCCGGGATAATGAAAGTGATACAGCAGGAGATTGTTTGTTGGTGCTTAAGTAGCGGCGCAAATTTCAGTTAATAAAGAGGGAAGCTATTAAAAGCAAACGTGTGCAATCCGAAAGAAGTCTAAGTAGCTTCGACTAGAATTGCTTAGGTAATATCCAACTTAATTTTAATCTTAAAGCATCAAGCTACGGGGTCTCCCGGTAGCCTAAAATTGGCAGCTAATAACTGTGGAAATTGCCAGAGAACCGTGAATTGACAATCATAATAAGGCCCATATTGAAGGCACGTATAAATTTCTAGAAGAGTCTTGGAGGCGAACCAGCCCCAGGCTGAAAGCCTCCCTAATAAAGATAAATTAATTAATTAATTCTAGAAGAATGAAACCTACAAGGAAATCAGGATGATCATGGACTTGGAAAATTGCTAATTTCTTGTATACCCTCAAAATTTTAAACATTGAAAATTATGATTTAGCACTCATCACAGTTTACCGCCATTATCGGGATTTTGGAATCGGGGCTCCATTTACCCCCGATTCTGCGAGCCACGTGACTCTCTTTCACCGGTGAGGTGCCAATAGTTACCTCGTAGGAGGTGACTCTCCCTTTGAATTGCACGGAGAGTCACCTCACACGAGGTGACAATTGTCACCTCACCGGTGACAGAGAGTCCCGTGACTCGAAGAATAGGGGGATTGTATCAGCCTTTGGCTCCAAGATGTAGAAAACAAAATCTGAGACTGAGAAAATAGTCAAAATGTGGGATCTTGACATAAATCTAGATCCCAGATTTCACCATGTAAGTTTCTCAAAGTTAGAACTTGAAAGAACTTTCATGGATCGAAACATTTAAATATTTTCTATTGAATTCTACGGAGAATACCTATGGAAATGTAGGGTAAATTTAAAAGGAATTCAAATGTTAATTAAAAAGAAACACTGAGGAGGATTCCTTAAAAAATCTGGGAAAGAATTTCAAGATAATTTTGAGAATTACAGTAATAACCCGATTTTGACAGCTCTCTTTTTGAACATCTTTTTTAGTGTTCTACGAAACTCATGTGATTTTTCAGTTCTTATTGCAACAAAGTATACGTGAAACATCCATCTTGATGATCAATGAGAAAAAAATGAATTATGGTTCTGTGAAATTATTGAAACATAAAAAATGATGCGCGGAAAAAAGCGGGTCATTACTGTAGTCCTAAGGAATTATGAGGTAAATTCCAATGAATTCCAAGGGGAGAAGAAATGAAGTTCTTCATTTAATTCTTATGTAGTTCTGAGGAGACTTGTATTTGAATCACGAGAAGGATACCAGATGAGTTTTAAGAAGAATCCAATGAGATTTATAAACAAAATTTAAACGGTGTTTCTAAGGGAATTCCGAAAAAATATTCAGGAAGCTCTAAGGATGATTCCAAAAAATGGAGCACAATTTAAATGAAATTCTTAGCAAAGTGTGAGGAAAATTCAGAAGGATATTTCAAAGGATTTTTGTAAAGCTTTTCGAGTTCCAAAAATAAATTAGAAAGTATTTCAAAAGGATTCAATTATTGAAAAATGTAGGTAGCTGCAAAGGAATTTTATGAAGGATTCCATGAAATTTCTTTGGATAATTTCAAAGGAATCCCACTCAAAATGCCATGGTAATTACGAGGAGAGAAACTGGGGAACTTACTGGTAAGTTTAAGGAGAATTTCATGATCATTCTGCATATGATTTATAGATATTTTTGGCATGCCATGTCAAAAGAGCAATGTCTTTTCGCAATTTTGAAGATGTGAACACTTATAAACATAAACATTCAAATTAATGAAGAATATTGCATTACATTTATGCCTTGTTGAGAGCTGTAAAGTGTAATAAGTTCGATTTTCGAAATACAAGAATAATGCAATAAATTAATAAAAGAATAATAACGTATCTTATAAACAACTTATAACATAACACATTACAACTTTTAGAATGAACATGGCATTAGAAGTACCAAAAATTTACCTAATTAATCTTAAAAAATATATTAAATTATGTAGGGGAAATGGCTATAATGTTGGCCTATGGATCTAAAATTTGGTCCATCGCTAAAAATCTGCTATTTATCAATTTTATCTAGATGAACGCGTCATTGGGATAGTAGTAATGGATATTTTTGGTCGCTATTGAAAATTTAGTCGATTTCTCCATTTATGTATGGGCCCAAATTAGGGGCATTTAGGCCGACATTACATCCATTGCCTCTATTTGAAATTTGTTAATTTAATAATGACTTATTGGAAAAGTAACACATAACTTGATTGAGTTGAAATCTGCTCAGAAATCATGACAAATTGAAAAGGTTAATTTTGTCAACTTAAAACTCAATTTTCGTCGGAAAAAAAAATCATAATAAAAAAAAACTTGTAGGTACATCCATAAAAAAAAAATACAAACTATAATTTAAGTAACCTAAGACCGTATGCTAAGGTTTATTAATTCTCGTTTATTTCTCGGTTATTTTTCAAATTCCCGGTTTGCTTTGAACCCTGATTTCGAGAAGCATTTCAAGGAAATTATGAGCAAAACTTCTATGGAATTCTGAATTGAAATCTAAGGAAATTTTGCGATAATACTCTTATAAATTCTCAATGGGATCTTAAGAGATATCTAGGAATATTCCAAACGATAAAACTCTTCCGTGCAAAATTTATGATGTAAAACTGCTATCTCTAGCAATTTTTACAAGATTGATTTATTGTGAAAATTTGCTGAAAACCATTTACTAAGTTCAATTTTAGGACCACAATCGCTAGTGGTCGCTAACTTTGCTCATCAATTAAACAAGTATTTAGTATGAAAGGTCATATTTGACTTCCGTAGATCGTTTTAAAATATTGTTAGAAACATTTCCTCCGCAGACAACAAACCTGTAAAATGCATTATTTCAATACAAACCATTTTTATGTAACGCAACTCCAAGCATTAGATTTCGTTTTCCTAAGGAATCAACTGGCTTTTGCATGTATCTGTGCGTAAGCAGTCTATAGGGTGAAGAACATTGTGATTTGGAACGCTCGCACAAAACAGAGAAGCGTAAAAAGGCACACGACGGGGCGATCCATGAATTAACTAGCTAGAAAAATCATCAAAACCGAGAGCATGATCAAGCTCGCGCGTGACGTTTTTCGTTCGCAATAATTAACGAATATTGTAAGATATCTTTTGGTATTTCAATTCGAAATATTCTGCGATAATTTTCGATAATTTTAAACGGATGTAATAATTATTCAACAATATCATCTATGCGTTACCTCAAGAAATCCATGATGAAAGCGCTTGAAAATGAATAGAAAAAATAATGCTAAACTGAGAGTATTCCCAAATCATGTTGGATACGCTCGAATTTGTGAGATAATAAAAACAATTCAAGTGTGTGTATGCGTTAGCTAATTGCTAAAAAATAGGCGTTGGTTTAGAAGTCAACCTATCGTGAAATCAAAAGGTTCCTCAATTTTCAAAAGTTGTTTCACAAGTGTTTTAGGATATTCAGCCTTTTTTATGGAGGATTATGATATATTTAGATATTTCTAAAGATAACTAGATAATTTGAACTATTATCTAGAATATTATTATAGAAATGACCCACCTTTGCCATTGCTAAATGAAATATTTTTTTAAATCAAAAAGTACCTCAATTATCACAAGTTGTATCACAAGTATTTATTCTGTGAAAATTTCAGTCTTTTCTATGGAGGTATTCTGAACTTCATCAGGAATTGAAATGGAACTTGGCAGGACTTCCCTGAACTACGGCAGGGTTTCCCTGAACTTCGTCAGGACTTCCACGAAGTTCGGCAGGCCTTCCCTGAACAATGGCAGGACTTCCCTGAAGTTTGCCAAAACTTCCCTGAACTTCGACAGAACTTCCCAGAACTTCGGCAGGACTTCCCCGAACTTCGGCAACACTTCCCTGAACTTCGACAGGACTTCCCTGAACTTCGACAGGCCTTCTTGAACTTCGAAAGTACTTTTTAGAACTTCGGCAGGACTTTCCTGAAATTCGGCGGAACTTTCGACAGGACTTCCCTGAACTTCGTCAGGACTTCCCCGAAGTTTGGCAACCCTTTCCTGAACTACGGCAAGACTTCCATGAACTTCAGTAGGACTTCCCTGTCCTTCAGCAGGCCTTCCCTGAACTTAGAATCTTGGAATTGAAGTTGTCATTTCAGCAGTAGAACTATT